CCTGGGCCTCCGGGCCACGGGCTGGCGCCCCCTGATGGCGGCGGTGCTGAGCGGCAAGGTGGGCGTGGCCCGGCAGCTGGTGGAGCGCGGCGCGGACCCCGACCACGTCAACGCGCTGGCCAGGACGGCCTTCGAGCTGGCGCTGCAGCTCAAGCAGAAGGGCCTGCAGTGCTACCTGGACGCCATCACCACCGTGCGGCCCCAGCCAGGTAGCGTGCCCTGGCGGGGCTTTCTCCTGTTTGCCCTCGGTCTAGTAATAATAATAATTCCTCACACTTCATGTCACGTACAGGGCTTTTCTGGACACTCCACTCAGAGCGCTTTACAGGTCATGGGGATCCCCTCCACCAGCTCCAGTGTGCAGCCCCACCTGGATGAGATGGGGGGTTATGAGGAGGCCATGATGGGTAAAGGCCAGGGGGAAACTTGGCCAGGATGCCAGGGTAACACCCCTCCTGTTTTTGAGAAACACCCCAGGATGACCACAGAGAGTCAGGACCTCAGTTTTACGGCTCATCTGAAGGACGGCGCCTGTTTACAGTCTAGTGTCCCCGTCACTACACTGGGGCATTAGGACCCACACAGACCGCAGGGTGAGCGCCCCCTGCTGGCCCCACTAACACCAGCAGCAGCCTCAGTTTTTCCCAGGAGGTCTCCATCCAGGTACTGACCAGGCTCACCCCTGCTGGGCCTCAGGGGGCTGCCACTGGTGAGCTGCAGGGTAATATGGCTGCTGGCAGTGTCTGAGAGTCTGAGAGGCTGGATCCAGGGGGGTATTTGACCCGCCTGGCCTGTTTGGTAAGTTATTGCCGATTGGATCCGACCCAGCCTTCTCCCGGAACGGGCCTAGGTGTCGGCTACTACCACATGGCTGGGTAGCTGTGTTCCCCACCCCCACCACCCTCTGGGTAAAGAGGTTCTGTGCTTTAAATTCCTTTCCGCTTGCGGGCGCCGGTTCGCTTTGCGCTGTTCGCTCGGAAGAAATCCGCCGCCGGGTTGAATTTGACCCACTTGCGTCGGTTCCTCCAGCCAGTCGGCGTAGGGCGTTCCCTCGCGCCCCAGAATGTGTCCGGTTTAGTATGTTCTTCCCTGGAATAAACGTGTGTCCAGGGAAGGTTTATACCAGACGTTCTCCAGCATCTGTCGTCGGCGTGGCCTCACTGGAGGGTGGCACTCGACGAAAGCGGAGAATTAAAACGTTTTAATTGGAAACGACGCAGCTGACGAAGGTTACACTTGAATGTTGTGTCTGGGCTCGTTAAAGCCAAGCTTCACTTACAGAAGAAGAGAAAAATATAGGCGTCTTGTTGCGGAGCCGGGATCTGGCTTTCTCCTCTACAAGGCTGGACTATTTTTTTCACTTTGTTTTTTTTTTGGGGGGGGGAAGAAAGAAGCACTTATCTTCTGTGATTTTGTCACAAAGGAGATAGTAGTTTTTACGTTTCTTAAGGAATTGCATCTAATGTGAGATTTTAATTAATTTGATTTGTGCCCGACTGGGCAATTAATTTAAGGACTTTCAGGAATTAATTGCTTTTTGTTTTCTGGCATAATTTCCTACAAATACATAAAGTTGATAAAACAAAAAAAAGTTGATACTGAAGTGAAAATCTACGAGGATTCCCACAGGACGACTTCTACAGCTTCCTAGACAAAAGAACACCTGTTAAAAATGTTTGGTTTTGTCATGTCATTTCAGAGTGGGTGTGAGTTTGCATTGTCTCCCGTCTCCTCCTGCCCCCTTCGGCTGATTTACAGTATGTGCTGTTTGCCAGATGACACCTCTGGGCCTTTGATAACGGGAATCAGATCTGTGATTTAGTATTCCTGCCTTACAGCTGAAAGACCCAGAGGTTACACAGCTTGATCAAAGCCTGTTTTCAATTACCTCGCCCTTCTGCTCGGCAGACAGTACAGTTGAAAACGTAGGCAGTCGCAAATGATGCTGCGACTTTTCAATTATTTTTTCACAATAAAGAGGGCGTATTGTATAGAAGAAGTATTCTCAGAAAATACATTGGATCTCTACATTTTGCCGGCAGCCATATCACTCTGCAACTCACAGCTGGCAGCCCACTGAAGCTCAGCAGGTGTGAGCCTGGCCAGTACCTGGATGGGAGACCTCCTGGGAAAAAACTAAGGTTGCTGCTGGAAGAGGTGTTAGTGGGGCCAGCAGGGGGCGCTCACCTTGAGGTGTGTGTGGGTCCTAATGCCCCAGTATAGTGATGGGGACACTATACTGTAAATAGGCGCCATCCTTCGGATGAGACGTAAAACCGAGGTCCTGACTCGTAATTAAAAATCCCAGGGCGTTTCTTGAAAAGAGTAGGGGTATAACCCTGGCGTCCTGGGCAAATTTCCCATTGCCCCTTACCAATCATGGCCTCCTAATAATCCCCCTCTATGAATTGGCTTCATCACTCTACTCTCCTCCCCACTGAGAGCTGGTGTGTGGTGAGCGTTCTGGCGCACTATGGCTGCTGTCGCATCATCCAGGTGGGGCTGAAAGGAAATTTCTGTTTTTCACCTTTTATACAATTTTATACCATTTTTGTGCAATTAAGAAGACGGATGACAAATGAAACATCTTTTTATCGTTTTCAGATGATGAGAAAAGAAGACCGGATGTCTTCAGTGCACTGAAGTTAGGTAAGGCCCCCTAAACCAGATGTGTGCAGGTTTGACTAGTTTATGCTTTGCCAAACATGGTAAAAGGTTTATAAAAATCGAAGAAGCATCATAAATATCCCATGAGTTTTATCAGTCTTTTAAGTCATGCTCAAGAGCAGCATTTATTGCATTTGAAATAAAGATAAACAGATAGTTTATCAGTGAGTATAAGAAGTTATGAAATTCATCAGAACTCATGTGGCGTCCTTTCTATCGAGCTGAAATAAAGCTGTGGCCCCTCTGTGTTTTTTTAATCGAGGCAGCAACTTCGTGTTTCCTTTCATCGGCCAACTTCATTGTAATAATGATTGTTAGTCTTGAGTACGTCTCTGGATCATGACCAGTCACCACCTGTGTGTGACTTGTTTTGCCAGTGGTACAGTACAGTGGAATAAGACAGTAGCATATGACTCTCACAGTATCTGTGAGATGCAGAACTGTCTCTTCATCACTGCATCCAGCATTGGTTTGTACTGCGGTCGCCTTAGGAAAAGCTTTATTACCCTACTGGGGGAAGTTTGCTTTGCAGGCAGGTACAAGGCGTAACACCATGCATAATACATTTAACGTGACATGAACCCATCAACAAATGAGAAACATGCGTTAGATGAGGACAAACAAGTTGGCAGCTTTAAGTAATCTCCACAATTTAGAAGAACAATCGGCCATCCAGATGAAGCAGGTTAATAGCCGTGGGAATAATGAATAACCCGTAATTAATAATAACAACCTGGTCCTGTTGCACGTAAACCGGGGTAGTCTAAATCAGCGCTGAAGTCGTGTCCACGCCGTGAAGGAGCTCGGATCTGTGCAAGGGGTCGGTGTTCCCGGCCTTCCGCTGGACCTGTGTGCTGTAGGCGTCTTGTGGGTCTGTGTGCTCAGCGGGCTCCCTGGGCTGACGTCGCCTGGCCCTCGTGCGCGTGTGCGTGGCTCACGCCCCTCTGTCGCATGCCTGTCCCCCCAGGAAATCCCCAGCTGGTGAGGGAGATCCTGGACGAAGACCCCAGTCAGGTGCACATGTCCAACGCGGACGGCGCCTCGGCCCTGATGATCGCCGCGGTCAGCGGACAGCTGGACGTGGTCCAGCTGCTCGTGGAGAGAAGCGCCGGCATCGACAAGCAGGACAGCGTCCATGGGTGGACCGCCCTGATGCAGGCTACTTACCACGGGTAACGTCCGGTCCTGCTGCCTGCAGCTGTCGGCAGCAGTGTGTAGTTTGTCCATGTGGCAAAGCAGATTCTCAAAGGCGTTTGCCTCAGAGCAGGCTGGTGTAGAGTAGAGCTACACAACAGTCCACAGCAAGCAGAGCCCAGTGCTCCTGGAGGAGGAATACTCCTTTATTTGAGGGGAAGAAGAAGGCAACTCCTGTGACTAACGGACAGAAAAATACCAACCGAACGAGCAAAAGACAGAAAGGGAGACAAGACTGAAATCTGGAAGTTCGTAGCAGTAGAATTCAGCAGTGAAATGCGTCTTCACCAGTTATAACGCAGTGATCCCGCTTCGGTGCATCCATGAGTATCAATCATCCTAAACAGATTTATAAAGATTTTGCCAGTACGGTTTTATTGCCAGGTTTTAGAAAGGCTACAAAAAAGAGGCCATTCTAGCCTCTTCTAGCCCTTTTAATGATTGATAGTTAATTGATCTCAATATTTATTGGGAAAAAAAACATTGGCTGACTTTGTCAGTGCCTTTGAGGATTGTGAAGGTCTCCTTGTTGTCTTCTCTGTTTAAGACTAAAAATGTTCTGTTCCTTCAGCCTGCCAGTCCAGGACATTAAGCCCCAGAAAGTATCTGGTTGATGTTCTCTGGATAGATTCCAGGACAGCAATATCTGTCCTCTAATATGGTGACCAAAATTGTCCATAATATTCGAAATGATGCCTTACTAGAGCACAATAATTTTATCCTGACATACTCCGATTGAATGGATGTGTTAGCTTTAACATCTGTCTTTTTCACAGCTCAGCTCAGTAGTTACAGATGTGCCCCCTAATGTCATATTCAATTCTCTGTCCTGTAGAAATAAAGATGTTGTGAAGTATCTGTTAAACCAAGGAGCCGATGTCAATCTGCGTGCCAAAAATGGATATACAGCCTTTGATCTCGTTATGCTGCTAAATGATCCAGGTGAGCTGTGAAACATAGTTGATTTTGCAAGGACTGTAGCAGAGAACAGTGTTCGGGCGAAACCAAGCTTTGGTCACCTAAAAAATACCTCTGTATGATCTGCTGTATGTCAGTTTTTATCAAGTACTGTACAGTCCATTTGAAGTGTATGCATTTTTCTTAGACATTTCTGGTGTGCTTTTATCTCTTGGCTATGCTGTCGTACAAATCTCCTATATCATTTGCTTTAACCCTATCCTTACTGTAGCTTTTCATCTAACCCTAGTCCTATGCCTATCTCGGAACACAAGCCTGTACTCTGAGCCTCAGCCTTTACCATATTCAAGGAACATAGAAGGGTTAGAGAAGAGAGGAGGTCATTCTCATTTAATCAGTAGTAGCGCATTCATCTAAGAATTTAATCCGCTTGTTTCTTGAAGAGTCCTGGGTGATTGTCTTCACTCGCACACCTTGGCAGCTTGTTGCAGACTCTCAGAGCTCCTTGTGTACCTGCTGATGCACCTCCTCCTAAATACACTAAAGATGTAAAAATGTTGTTCTCCTTTTGGTTCTGTCAGTGCTTTTTTAGGATTTTTAATGCTTGCAGTATTATCAGTAACCTTTACTGTTTAAGCAATTAATTTCCATTCACCCGTCTGTGTGCAACATTCCCTTTAGACCTGGTGTTACTCCTTCTAGGGCAGCAATGTCTTTTTATGCCACAATGCCATAAACAATCCACTGCTTTTAACACCTGCAGGCTGGGACATGTGCAAACCTCACGACGCTGGCTAAGCCAGGTCAAGGTCATTGACGTACATTCGGAAGAGCAGTTTCTCAAGGTTTATTGAGATCGGATTTTTTTCCCTTTTGTCTTGCCTTCTTCATGCAGACACGGAGCTCGTGCGACTGCTGGCCTCTGTTTGCATGCAGGTTGACAAAGACAAGAACAAACAGAGGAACAGAGCCACCCTGAAGCGCTCGAAGAGCAGGCAGTCCCTGAATGTCCCCGTCCCACCTGATGATAAAGGGGGCTTGAAGGTACCAGAATCATAGACAACTTTGTGGCTTAGTATTGAATATGAAGGCGTTGTAATTTGCTGTGTTTTCGAAATTTTGTAGGACATCCTTCCTCCTGTTATTCCCAGTTAAAGGGGAACTGCAGCACTGTTTTCATATTTTGGGGTTAGAAAGAATCAGCATTGATGAGTGCATTTCAAACCACAATAAAATGCACACAGTAACGAGTAAAACTTCCAATTTACATCACAAAAATTAGACTACATTTCCAGGTATGCGCAGCGCCATGTTCTGCGATTCAGAACGAGGCAACAAGACTTCCAGTGATGCGTGTGGCCCTATTACATTGTAAACAAGTAGTCTTGTGAATACGTCTCTTTTAATCCAACAGATTTGATTTTGAGACGGTTTTCCAAAAAATACTACTTGTTAACTTCAAATCCAGACTCAAAACCTTCTTCTTCAGAAAAGCCTTTACTTAACTGGTTCCATTCTTCACCCCTCTGCTCTTAATACCATCTTCCACGGTCTCCTCTATTGTTATTGTTGTATTGTTTTAATTATAATTGTGTCCTATCTTGTGAAATTTTCTTATTTATTGTTATTGTCATCCTATTTATTGTTATTGTCATCCTGTAAAGCGCTTTGAGAAGCAACCTTTAAAGGCGCTATATAAAATAAAGTTTATTATTATTATTATTATTATTATTATTATTATTATTATTAACTCTGCATGCAGATCACGTTGGAACATTTCTGTGGCGAAAAGGTCTGCCGCTCAACCAGTACTCATTCACTCGTCCATCACAGTACGTTAGTCGTTATGGAGACTAGTGAGCAGGAAGGGCCGCGTCACGTCGCAATTTGTGGGAACTTGAATGCGAGTTTGTGTCGACAGGGCGACTTGCAAAACTTTCACAAAATCCACGATTTTGTGCTTCGATTCGAAACTTTTACTGTCGCGTCGGTGAATTTATTTCGGTTTTAGTAACCGGCCTGAGAGATGGGGACCGTAGTTCCCCTTTCGAGAATCCCGATTTCCGAAGCTTCGCACTGAAACTCCCGGGGGGGGTGCACTGTTCTGCCGTCGGTACGGTACGCTGCCGTATCGCGCGGCGGTGCTCACTGGTGCCCCCCGCGGGCCGCGCCCGCAGTCCTGGTGGAGCAGGATGTCCAACAGGTTCCGCAAGCTGAAGCTGACGCACACGCTGCGGCACGGCTTCTCCACGGGCCGCCTGGCCCCCCTGCCAGACGGCGTGGACGTGGCGCTGGACTGCACCATGAAGGCCGGCCCCAGGAGCGGCGAGGCCAGCGGCGCCGCGGGCGCGGGGACCCCCGAGACGAGCACGGCCTGGGCGGCGAAAGGCAAGGACAGCGGTGAGGGAAGGCTCTCTCTCCTTCCGCCACGGGCAGACCCGCACGTCTCGCCTTCCCAATTCACGGAGCGTTGCGTCCTGGAGTTTTTTTCCTGATTTCGCATTTGCGTTTTGACGAATCTGAAACGATAAACTAGAATCTGCGATAGCGAGGCTATTCTGCTTCCAAATCAGGCAAAATGAATGAAAAGTTATGTAAAGGAGCAACAGCTTCTTGGACATTGAATTTCTCTGGGGAGGGGCAAAATACTGAATCTTTAATATTTCAACATTTCACACCTGCAATCCGTACGTTTTCGTTACCCGGAATAAATAACTGATTAAATTTGAGAGTCCAAGAATTAAATCTTTTCTTCTGAACATGAGTTACTTATGTGTTCATTTTGTAATTTTCCAAGTTGTTCACGTGTGATCTCGTTCATTTTTTTCCAGGACTTAGCAGTGCTGGTACAGAGAAAGACGACACTCTGATCACGACCATGGTAGGCCACCCCTTTGAGAAAAGGCATTGCTCCTCCGATAAGCCTGTTCTGTGTTGTTGTTATTATTATAATTCCTTACTATATTATTACTTAGCCCTTACATTTATATGGCGTTTTTCTGGACACTCTGCTCAAAGCACATTACAGGTAATGGGGAATCCCACCAGTGTGTAGCCCCCCCTTGATCATGCGACCAGGTTCACACCACCTGAGCTTCAGTGGCTTGCCAGTTGTGAGTCCTGCAAGTTCAGGCAATTCTGCTTTAATCAAACTAGAGAACTGCCCCTGCTCAGTCAGGTCAAAACCCCTAATTCTGAAATCTACTTGCACCACCCGTTTATAACCAGTAACTAGTTGAGCGGCGCGTTGAATTGCAGGTCCTCTGCACTGGGCTACTCCAGTCAGCGGCTGCTTGAGCACTTCTGCCCCGAAGAACAGGTAAAAAACACCACCGGCGGGACAGCACTCCGTCACCCCACGACGGTCGAAGCAACGCCGCTGCTCGTTGTTGCTCCACCGTCTCATCTTTTCTCCCATCCCTGTTTCTGTCCCCCGCAGCTGAGGAACGGCGCCCCCTCCACCCACCTGCCCAGCGACAAGCTGAAGGCCGTCATCCCCCCGTTCCTGCCCCCCTCGAACTTCGAGCTGCGCAGCGCGGACCGCTCTCGGGCCGGCCGGGAGGGCAAGGCGGAGCAGGCCCGGCAGCCCATGCCCCCGCGCCCCGCCAAGGCCTCCTTCAACAGCAGCGGCAACTCCGACATCGTGAGTCTGGCGCACGCCTTTTCCGGACGGCCTCGGAGAACAGATCGCGGAACTGCTCGGCTGACACCCCGGCTAGGGCTAGGGTTAGCATTTCCCCCAGTGTTTAGGAGTGTCGCTGTTTCTGTGTTGTTACGAGCACGGTTAGCTCATGGGACTCATCTGTACACCTCAGGAAGCGAGTTAGAGTTCTGTCAGCCCTCCTGGATGCCTTCGACGGCTGTGCGCGTTACATTCCTGGTACTTCATTGTAACGCCACACTTGTTTTGTGTGCTGCAAACCTGCAGGAGTCGTTTTTCGATAGCGATCAAAGCAAACGATGCGACACAAAGAGCCTGTGCTTTCATTTACTTGGAAACTGACCAGTTTATACACACAGTATACAATGTGCTGGAGAACCCTGTTACTCCATGACAAATCAAACCACGCCTGTCTGTGGAAGAGAAGAACGTTTACGAGTCGAGGGGTCTCCCCAGCCTAGTGAAGCATATCGAATATCGATTTTGTTTGTCTTCAGGTTTATAGACAAATGCTAAATATACATCCATCGTCCCGATTTCCTCCCTAGCGCCTTTCCCCAGCTCCAGAGACACGATTCGCAGCCTCTCACAAGCTGCGGTTTTCTCTTCCAGACGTCCGTCAGTCGTGTCGCCGCCCGGTCCGTCAAGTTTCCCAGCATTACCAAGAGCCCCACGTCCCCCTCCAACTCGGGCTCCTTCAGCTATTCCCCCCACTCCTCCGGGGGCGCCGGCGGGGTGGTGGGGTCCAACAGGCACGGGGTAGACCCTCACAATCGCTCAGGTGTGTTGTTTTTCTTTTTCTGTTTGTCGTCACTGCTGTTGGGTATTCCTCTGTGCGCGTAGTGAACTGCGCACCTGCTGCTGGGTGCTCTTTCTTAATTTCAAGCCTCCCAAGATGGACTTACTCTCACCCAAAAAGCTAGCTCCGAGGGCGCCTGTGGTTATCGAATGATTATTTTACTCGCCCCTGTGTTTTAGCAGAGCCGGGTATCTAGGCAGAACAGGGCTGCTGAGTGCTACGGTACAGAAGCACTCCAGCGCCGTTTGACTCCCTCTTTCCCAGGTGGCAGTTCCGACAGCGTTCTCTCCCAGATCGCGGCGCAGAGGAAGAAGGTTGCTGGCTTGCTGGAGCAGAAGCCCCAGCCGTCGGACAGCCAGGCCCCAGCAGTGCCGGACATCACCCTCCCCGACATCCACAGCACTTCCTGTCTAGTGGTCAGCGGCGCTCAAGGCAAGAAGGTAAGGATGCTTGCTGTTTGGCCGCTTCAGCGGGCCCTGGGACGCCTGAGGAGGGCGAAGTTTACGTTTGATAAAAATACACAGTGTTATTTTTCTTTAGAAAATGTTTTGTAGCTTTCTCATTCTTTTGGGCTAGGATGTGGTTATGGCCAGAGGGTAATAAAGGCTGGAAGAAAGAGCAGGGCTAAGGATTGGACAAGCTTTCAGCTTTATGCGTATTAAGGATTATGGTAAAGCTGAGGAGCAGGATTGCATGAAAATTAGGATGGAGTTTGGACACTTCCTTACAAATTCTCACACCAGGATTGAAAACCTCAAACAGAACGAACCTGACTTCCTTTCCGCTGCCCCCCCTGTTTGCGAGCCTCCCTCCTTTTCCGATCCCGGTGCGTCGGTTTCGAGACGGAGCAGGACGCAGAACGTAATGCCTCCCCGCTGACCCCCCCCCCCCCCGTCACAGAAAGCGGAGGCAAAGAAGAGGCCCCCGTCGGGGAATTCGTCCACCTCCAAGAGCACCTCCCCGACGCTGACGCCCTCGCCCTCGCCCACGCTGAAAGGCCCGCAGGCCGACGCCCTCTCCTCCCTCTCCTCGCACCCGCGCTCGCAGAGCAGCGGAGGCTCCAGCAGCGGCACGGTCACGGACGAGGGTGAGTCCGGCCCCGGGGCGCGCCTGCTGGCCGCCCTCGCGTCGTGGCGTTTCGGAGGCTCCAAGACTATTTCCTGCCCTCGCGTCTTGGCGTTTCGGAGGCTCCAAGACTATTTCCTGTCCCTGAGTCCTGCGTGTTCTTTTATTAATGAAACTGATTTAATTTCGCACTCTTGAAGGTTCTTTGCCAGAGCAAAACATATCAAGAGACAACCAGAAACCCTCTGGGGTGTGGCCTGCGGTTGTTAGGCTACACGGCCGTACGCGCCTCTGTGTTGAGAGCAGTAAGGCTGATGGTGGAGGTGTCAAGGCCCTGCGGTCGCCTACAGATAACAACACGACGAATCCGCCGTGCTGATCCTGAACACACCTTTCTTTTGTTCAGACGAGCTCTCTGGCATCCTGAAGAAACTGTCCCTTGAGAAGTACCAGCCCATATTTGAGGAACAGGAGGTAAGAGTCAGTGAGTTAGCTTGTCAGTCATTTTTTGCATCCAGAATATTTGTGCCCTACCTTAACCTTTTGGACTTATTTTCCGCTGCTTTTGTGTGTTGTTCACATAACATAATGTTTTTTTCTCCCTGCAAACGATGCAGATTTATTCCTTGATTGCTGTAGCTAATAGTCTAGAGAATGTTGTTTGAGTCTTCCCCTGCCTACAGTGAACTTACTGCCTTTTGGACCTTGAGTGAACTCATCTAAAATCTGCCGCAACAAGCAAGGTAGTCTTGCTTTAAGCTCGATTTGTCCTCAGATAATTTAAGCACACGCATGTTCTGGTGTGCGACTCAAGAGACACAAAAGCATAAAGTAGTGAACGGCGTACATCCCTGCCGACTGCCGCCCTCTCTTTCTCCCAGAGCCGGAGTGGTTCTGAAGCTTTCACCCGTCGTCTGAGTACGGGGGGTTTCCTCTGCTCCCTTACAGGTGGACATGGAAGCCTTTCTCACCCTGACCGACGGAGACCTCAAGGAGCTGGGCATTAAGACAGATGGGCCCAGGCAGCAAATCCTGGCTGCCATTTCCGAGCTGAACGCCGGAAAGGTACGGACTCCTGTTTCTTCCGGAATAGGCTGCTGGGAATCGGTCTCCCACCCGGCCTCGACTGACGGAGGCGTGTACTTTCCCCGCGGTGATAGGCCTACGGAGGCCTGCCTGCCGTCGTGAGTGTTGTGCAAGGGGTTCGTACCTTTTATTTTCAGAACCCATCCGTGTAATGCGTTTCTCCAAGGATGGCGAGAGAAATTCACCCATAAAATAATGAATCGGCTACAAACAGAGTGACCCGAGTTCAGTGGTTCAACTGAAAGAAAGCCGTTTTGTTTTTTTTAATTCATCCGTGCAAAAGAAATCTTTGCAGAGCGTGCGCTTTGAAGGTGGCACGTCACTCGCACCTGCTTCCGTGGGAGATGGCCTCTGCCCAGTGTCTGCCTGGATTCAGGAGCTGGGTGGGGGCGGGGGTGAACTTCACAAGTGAAATTAGGCAAAGTTTAAAGTGACATTAAAGCCCCTCATCTGTGTGTCCGTGTGTCCGGGTGGCCCTGTCCGGATTTCTGTTACAGGTGCCGGCGTATCCGCAGCAACTGAGATGCAGTGTTTCTTTCAACAGGGCCGGGAGCGACAGCTCCTCCAGGAAACGATTCACAACTTCCAGTCGTCGTTTGGCAGCAGTGCCAGTAACCCTCGGCCCCCTGGGTATCCACGCTGTAAGTAGCTGCTCTGGAGAGAGGGGCCGTAGGGGGGGGGGGTGTAATTCCCGCCATCCCGCCACTAGAGGCCGATACAGGCCCCCCAATCGCTTGGCATTTGTTCCACTTGGTGTTGGCTAAGTCGTTAAGTGTCTCGTTATCACGAGGGGGTGAGAATCCCACATTTTCAATATGGGGTCCATTAGTACTGTTGCAGTACGGAAGGGGCTCGCACGGCGTTAGTGCTGGTTTGGTGAGCAGTCTGGGGAAACCGCTAAGGTTTAGACGTAATAAAGAAGACCTCCGAGTGGCCTATGTGCGAGTCCTGTGGAAGCCCTCCGGTTTAAGCCTCCCGCACCCCAGGGGGACCTACACTGAGCACCCGCCGCGCCCCGTTTCCAGCCCGGGAGGGTGCTCGGACGCTTACCGCTGCTCCCTCTCCCCCCGTTCTCCCGCAGCGCCCACGGGGTGGGTGAGACAGCAGGTGCGAGCGACCAGCAAGAGGCAGGGGCCGTGAGGGCGGCGCCCGGGGGGCTGGCGGGACGCCCCGGCCCTCCTCCACGCCACTGTCCCGGAGCAGCAGGACGGAGCCGCCGTGGCAGGGCCCGCGGGGGGGCGCTGGCGGCTTCGGGCAGGGGGCCATTCCGCCCCGAGACGGAGCGCGAAGCAGAGCGCGCCGCAGGCGTGTGCCGGTCGTCGCCGAGGCGCCGGTGTCCGGACCGGGAAGAGCCAGGAGGTGGAGACAGGCGGCAGCACAGCCCCAGCTGGCGATCGCCAGGGCCCAGGCTGGGAGCAGCCGAGCAGCCGGAGGGCTGAGCTCTCTGGGCTGCGTCCCCCGACTCCGGAGCTGGCGGGGGGGCTCGGCCGACCCCGTGCCCTCGTCCTCCGTCGTTCCCGAGCTGCCCCGGCTCCCAAACGGCTGGCAGTGCCAGGTGGGAATGACGGACGTGACGGAAAGAAAATGTCCAAATTCCAAATTTAGGGCAGGAAATAAGGCGCTCTGGTAAGAAAGCGAGAATTGAAAACCAAGAGGAGGGTTGTTTTTTGTTTTTTGGGGAAATCATTTGGCTTTATTCCTCCTTGCTTACCAGTGCCCGGCTGCTGGATGGTTTCTTGCAAGCGAAATGCAGTGCGACACTTGCTCTCTGGGTCCAGAGGGTGGCGCCTCTCGTTTTAAGTCGCGTGCTTGTAAAGATCAGCACTCTCTGTGTCCAGCTCCAGGTGCGACTTCCCTGGAAGGAGAGCGTGGAGAAGGTGCTGTAGGACAGGATGGGGTTTTCTCTCTTCATCGAGGTTCTGAAAACAATCGCGGTGAGCGGCACAGGAAAGACTCTGACATGTTTCCGACCTGGCTTGGCCCACTACTGCTGGGAAGCAGTTCTTACGTAATGGGGGAAATGGAAGAGGAGACGACATGAAGGATGTTTGTGAAATGTTGCAGATGTGGGGCAGAGGTTGTGTGCTTTTGTCGGCATGTCTTCACCGGCCTCTCATCTGTACAGCACCACCAGCCCCGGTGCCAGCCCTGCGTCTGTCAGACCGCTGGCACAAGTCTCCTGATCCACATGGGTCCTGCTCAGCCCTGCCAGCAGAGAGGATCACTCTGAGGACTGTAGAGAAAGTGTCCCGTGTTCATATGGGAAATGTGTGCATTTACACTCCAGTATTCTGTTATTTGAAGAAACCAGATGTGTAAAAGAGGTGTTTCTTTTGTGATAATGTACTGTACATTATAAATTATTCCTGCAAATTTATTAAAGAATGAGATGTAAATTCTGGGTTTACCTTTACCAGAACAAAGGCACATACTAAAACTTTTAAAAAATGAGAAAAGAAAGAGGAGAAAAAGCATTTGACAAAATGATGTCTAGTCCTTCTTAATGAAAGAGCAACATAGTCATGCGCTGTCTGAAAGCACATTTAGTCACAAACGCCCAAATAGCGCTCTGTCACGGGACAGTGCCAAGGCATACATGAACATACCCAGTATACTGCAAATACTGTAGTTCTACATGCGAGTTAGCCTACAGAAGGAGGACTCTTAGGGGTCCTTGTATTTTTTGGGAAGAAACAAAATTGGAGATTTGAGTTTTGAGCTCTGCTTAAAACGTCAGCGTGCCGTTGAAAAGGCAGACGTACAGTATTTGGATACCAGCAGGTTGTGTGGAGTGCTGTCTGAGCCCGAGTGTTTCTGCTGCCACATGAAGTGAACAGAAGCAGTTACCACCTGCAGAGTTATCTGAAAGCTTAGCCTGAAACAGCTTTTTTGTGGATTGAAGAATTCCTTGACCGTGCTCGATTATTGTACTTGATCTCCTCAACAGTAGTCTCTAATAAAGGATTTAGTAGTCTCCCATAAAACTAGAGGGGTGGTTTTACAACTCATTAAACGCCCTCTGAAGGAGGCTTCACTCTGGAGTGAGAAGGGGTTGAAACAAGTGTGTAGTACGAGTGGTTCCTGGAACAAGTCGAAACTCTCTTCTGAAACTGATGAATGTTTGCAAACCTGGGGTCTCATGAATTAAAGTAAAACTAATGTTTTAGCGGTGCAAACACAAATCATATTCAATACAGCTTTATGTCCCTGCTACCTTCCTCTCCCTCACAGCCTTATATCCGCGCTACCTTCCTCTCCCTCACAGCTTTATATCTCTGCTGCCCTCCCCTCTCCCTCTCGCCTGAAGAGGCTGTGATTCAGCTTTCTGCTCCTCAGGGTGGAACAAACCTTTACTTGGTCCCCAGAAACAGGCCGCGTCCGTTACACATCGCAGTCCGCTGACAACGGGAGGCCGCGGTGAGTTTCGGTGCAGTCGGTTAAAAAAAAAGAGGAGAACAGCCAGACAGTTAAAAACAGTATGTCATGCGAGAAATGCGAGGGGAAACCAGCAGCGGCCATGAGATTGATGACCTTAACCCCGCCGCGGTCTGTAGTGAGGTATTGGCATGTACTCTGTTCACTCGAGGGGTTATCCTGGACTGGCTCGTCTCAATGACGGAACAAAGGTTCGGTCAGTTTAATCCATCCGTTTCAAAGGGGCTTTGTATTCCCTGTACACATGTATCACATTTCAGTTTTTTACACCTGTGGCGGATAATCGGAAGCACGTGTGGAAATCCACACCATCTTGCCCCAATTAAGGACATGGGCACACATGCAACAAGCTGCTTTGCAAGGGTTTCTTAAAAAGCAACCGCTGAGATCGAGGATTTTTCTTTTACGCTTTCCTGTGAAGCATATAAAGATAATCCACTGGGGGGCGCCCTTTAACCTGTTAAGATCTGATGCTCTTCTGACTGAAGAGACCAGCAGGCACCTCGATGGCTCGCTGCTTTGTATCGGGATGTTTCGAGGAATAAAATGGTAGTCAGGAAATTAAAGTTATGTACCGTTATTATGTACCGGCAAACGGTATTATGTACCGTTATCCTCAAATCCTGAAGCGCAAGGGCAAACTCCATTTGACAGACGATTGATCTCACGTCCTTCGTATAACGTAACTCAGACTGAAAGCCCACTGCCTGAGGGGCACTTCTAGAGCCCGTCTGCTTCAGCCCAGCTTACCAACAGGGAAAGACACAGGTACCCAGCTGTCTTTTCTCGCATTGTTCTATGACAGCAAGTCTGCAATACGTTATAAGATCTTTTTACCCCGGTTTGTGAACCTGGGTCCAGTTTGCATCTGTGTTCCTCCTATATTATTCTTAATGCTCCTGGTAATCCACAAATTTGTACGGCACAAATATAAACTGAATATGTGTATATATATATATGTGTGGTTACATAATCAAGTCCTACCGACCATTATGAGTAAGCAAGGCTATAGGTTTAAAGTTGTTCCTGACTACTCGAGTTCCTCTGGAACTAAAACCCATTTCACAGATGATGCAAACGGATGTGTGTCGGCTTCCCCAACGCAACTGGGCTGAATTTTGTGGGTTAGTTGTTTGAGACACACACTGAAATGTCCTTTGGAACACTGTACATATGGAGAGCTCCGACTCTGTTAGAGTAAACCTTGCAAAATAGAAAAATAAACACGTATCATCGAACACATTCGTTCCTGCCATTCTTACTCGTTATATTTAACATTGCATTTCACCGCTTAACTCTTGCTGAAGTTTCTCCGCAAAACCTGACGGTTCCCTGCATTTTTGAACTAGACCGGGACATGCTGTCTTTTGCTCGTTTGAGGCCAGAGTACTTTCACGTAAGGGAAAGCAGTCAGTTCGAGGACCAAAGGCCTTACACCCCAGCTCTTCTGCTCTCTCGCAGTCGATCGAGACTGTCGCACTTGTGAAGTCGTCCACCTGCAGCGCAGACCTTCTGAAACCGATGCTACACAGAGAGGTAGCAGCCCTGTTGGACGGTGTCAACTAACCCCATACCTGCATCACCACGCTACAAGATGGACAACAACAAAACAGTTTCTTATTTCCAAACAGATTACCTATGAGTCCAAACTTTTGTAATCATTTTCTGTAGTCTGCATCAAAATGGACAGTACGTGTCTTGCAGAAGAATTCACACACCCCCCTTCCAAAATTGTCACATTTTGTTGAATTATACTGTGAATGATCTGTAACTTTTTTAATGTGAATATCAAAATTGAACACTTTTATGAGCGAAATAAAGTTAAATGTCAGCAAAAGCTGGAAAGAAAAATAAAAAACTAAAATATCTTGAATATAGAGGTAAACACCCCCTTTTGCGATGGCACACTAAAATTGTTTCAGGTGCTGAACGACAATTTATCACATGGCCTCCTCACTCTGGAGATTTTGAAATGGGTCCTAAATTCCTCAAACGTTGCATCATCTTCCAGTGAGAGTTTCGTCATGTCTCAGTGAAGAAAACTAAATATTTTAAAGCACATGTGAAATCTTAAAAGTCTTAAAATACTGAGGATAATGCACTATTTTTGTACAGAGAGTTGACAGCTAGGCCTAGAGTACCATTTGGAGGGAAACAAAGTTTTAGCGTGTCACAGAAAACAAGCATGCGGAATTTCTATTCTCAGAAGTCCAAGTTAGTGAGACACAGCTGTATTGTCTCGTGTCTTTGTTCTGGTGAGTGGAAAATGCAGTATTCTCCGAATTCTTGGCATGAGTTCAATTTCCCTGCTCCTGTTCACAGTGGTTGGAGGGCACTTCACATAATCATGGGCTTTGTAAACAGGTCCTTTTCCAACTAATTCCCATTTAATAAAATAAGCGTCTCAAGCTCTTCATGTGTGTCTTGGAATCTCCTGCATTAGACAGCTTCAGACACAGTCATTCGTAACTTGTCAATATGCAGAAAGTGTCATGGTTTTCTGAAACCTGGTACATTACTTATCCGCCCAAAGGACAAGCTTAAGAAGTCCTCAAAAACGTTCTGACTGTTATAAGAACTGATCTGAGGTCCAGTCAGTGTTGCTGTGAAAAGAGAAGGTCTGCTTACTTACAGTATGCAAAATTAAAAGGAAAGAGGACTGATATTCACATTACAGCACAAGAACAGCTACTATCTAGATAAGCCATTATCTGATCAAAGCGGTTTTTAAAAAATCATGGCATTTTAACTTTATTTAAAGGATCACTGCAAGAAATGCATTTTTCTTGCAAGGTCACAGAGGTGATTTCTGTGAGGTAGTCATTACACCATCCAGCCTTCAGTTTAGAAAAGAGTTTATTAACTTTGGCAAAACAGACAAAAGGTTACTTCAGACATAAAGTCAGAAATTACCCGGAAATTCATTTCGAGCATTGACTGAACGAGCTTTCAAGTTCAGGGGTCCACATCACCACACTACCTCACCCAGGGATCTTTCGCAATGAGTTAGAGTTAGAAAACTGCGATTTCATTACTCTAGACAGCTCGGGTCTTTAGAGTCATCTGGCAGGCTTCCTATCTGTTCAAATAATCAATCACTAACTTGTGGGGTAGAGAGTTAAACTGGAACATTAAGACAAAAGAGAACTTACAGGTAACAGGAAGCTGTTCAGCTCATTTTGCTTGTTTGGTTCCTGGTAATATAGTACATAGTGTCGTGCCAAACAAAGAGCATCAGCTGAGAGTTTGTGTGTTGAAAGTCGTCTTTATTTCATATGCATATGGAAGTCTTGCTTTTGGACACAAGACTTAAAAGACAACGCTTACAGTGCTCTTTTATACAGTGAAACAAATAATACAAGATACACTCCCACATGACTCTCTGTTTGAATTGTGCCTATATATGATCATTTTAGAAAGCTGACCAGTACATATATTTTCTTTACTGTTGGCTTGCGTGACAAGCAGCCCCTTCTGCTGAATAGACCATTTGTTCCAGGAGAGGTCACTGGTCATTTCCCTGAGAACTATGCCAGCTATGCATAAAGACACCATGTGGCTATGTTATCATTTGAGATCAGACATCCTGGGATGGATTTAGTAAAATATAAGTAAAAAGATACCCATAGTTAACAAGATATAATACAAACTTTTAGTGAAAATGTTTAGTTCATTCCTTCTGTAGTGATCCAGGAGTCCCAAAACTAACCCACAGAGCCAGAATCAGAATATCATGATTAGGGAGATCGTTCCAGACCCCAACAAACTTCTGTGTGAAGGATAGCCCCCCGTTTTCTAGCCTGAATGCTCTTATATGTGCTGTTGCTGATTGTGAAGAAGTCCAACAAAGATAACTCAGACAGTGGAATTCTGCATTTTGAATAATCGAATCAGGTCTCCACATGACCCTCCCTGTTCCCTTTCCTGCAAGTTTTAAGTTGTTGTTCATTTAAGGTGACACACACACACACACAACATCCTAGACTGTGGCCTCAAAATTCCAGAAACCTTTTTATAAGGAAAATGGTTACACATTAAAATAAATACCCCAACCTCCAGGTTTGTTGGCCATATCTTTGCAAATGTATGTGGTCTAAATGGAAATTTGTTACAGATTTTATTTCACAGAAGAGCTCAATTATCCTTTGCTTAAGTGGTTTCCTTCACTGCATTTAACATATTGTGCGTTTTGGATATAAAATAATTTAAATAAATTTATTCAGGTTGACAGCCAAGACACATTTGGAGTACATTAGTTTACTGTGGACATGTGCTACACAAATGTGTTTAATTACTTCTGATCGTTTATTTTTTTATAGCTGAAGTTATAAATGCATTAAAAACATCTGAAAAAAGTTTTGTGCAAATCTTGTACTTAACAGAAAGGGGACCCTGGTGTCTTTGTCCCCGCTATCCCTCTGGAAATGAAGTTAGGCTTTGTATCCAACCAAGTCCATTCTGGTGTTGGTTATGGGAGAGGTCCAGAAGGCTCCAAGATCACGAGTGATGTAGGACACAGGATTCCTCCAAAGCTCCAGGCTGAAGGGGTGAGGCTAAAGGCAGTTTGGATGTCTGAATGACTGGCAACAGTGGGGAAACATTTACAACAGCTTGCAAAAGTATTCACCCCCCTTCCAGTGATGTCCCACCTCGTTGAATGACCGGTGACGCAGACACTTGTATTTTAAGGCAAATGCTTTCAATCCAGACTCGACTGCTAAAGCTTTGAGCACTTTCATGGGAGAAAGAAGTTAAATGTCAGCAAAAGGATCAAATAATTTTTTTAAAAAATCTAGTGTATGCTGGGAAGGAAATGGAACATCACTGGAAGGGAGTGAATACTTTCGCAAGGCGCTGTAGCTGTAGTGAAGAAAGGAGTTTCGGGTGCATTGCTGCTTTATTAGCTGATGATGTGTTCAAGAAGGCTCTTCTAGGCTCATGACATTCTTGATATGGACCTGTGGTTAAATCTATGGTTTAAATGCGAATGATATATTGACATGGAGAATATCAAACTGGGATATTTTTACGTGCAGCACAAACTCAGACTGAACCTCGGCCCCTGTGCCAGCTACAGCCATTGACATTTCCCCAGACTGAGTCCGTCACTGCACACATCGGGCTAAAGGTCTCCTGCCCCACCCCCTGCGAGCCATCGAGAGCACTCTACTGGACCGGATACCATTTCTCAACGCCTGGGACTGGCTTCAGGTAGCTGTCTGGCTCTGGCTGAATATTAATTTGTAAAAACAAAAAAGAAAACCAATCAAGATACATTGTTGACTGACTTCACTTTCGAAACCCAGCTTCAGGGTTTCACCACGATAGCCAGTCATTATGAGGTTTCCTAAGTCACTCTAAATCACCAGCGGCTAACGGCTGGAAGCACTTGTAAGATATCAATCAAATAGGCACGTAATTTGTTTAAGACAACTCTGGTCCTTGAGGGATGATTAAATGATCTCTAAATGTCTTAATTTAGCTGATACTCTGATCAGTTAAATTCTTCTGTGTGTTTTGAGATGAATGATTGCGTTGTTGACAATAAAGCTTTAGGACTGGGGCTTTCACATCCCTTTTTGTTCTTCCCTTTTACTTCCCGCCCGGGGGGAAAGAAACATCGATTGGCAGCATTCTCCAGTAATACCCAGTATCCTGACAGTTCTAGTCCGCACAGCACCCTCAGAGGACATTTCTACGCACTCAGACTGGCCTCTGAGCCCCACACTTTGACGACCGTCTTTGCGTGTCCTTACAGAAATTCTGTCTCTTACAAATGTGTGTTGTTTGTATTCCCTGTCTCCAAATCATCCTCTTAAATTCCCTCTTAAAATAATACAAACACCAGCCTTTAACCAAAAAAGGGCCATTTCAGTGAATGTTGTTCTTATACTGGAAGCGGTCCGCCTGCCCAGTCAAACAGTCCCTGCCACTCTCATGCAATCCACACTGCTACTCATGGACGGCCTGCTCTGCTGAGGACGTGTAGGCGTTCCTTTGTAATTGTCAAGATGATTATGCCTTTCTAGGGAGTCAGGGATTTGTTATGTCAGCAGATTGAGAAAGGAAAAACAAGCACCACTGCCCAGCACTGCAGCTGAATTTTCCACCACAGTTTGCCACAGAGCCCAGATGACCAGCCCTCATTATTGCCTCCATTTATATACTGTCCAGACCAAATCACAACATTAGAACGCAGAAAAGGATCCGAACAAGAGGAGGCCATTCCACCCATCTAGCCTGTTAGGTTAACATGCGACAACTGAGCTGCAGATCTCCTCCAGCTTTCCTGAAGAAAATCGGGGTATCAGCTTGAACAACATAGGTTTGTTTCAGACTCCCACAGTTGTTTGGAGTAAACTAATAGGAAACTGCATTTAAGATGGAGAACTGTCTTCAATGCGATTTCTCTTTTGTCTACCCCAGTGTCTTCTGGTTTATACATCACTGGTGGTCCTGAAAAAAGTGCAGCAGGTTAGCTTTCATAAAACAGACTATGAAGTACAAGCGATGCCTGTTTCCACGGACAAGGACACTTTAAACTATGAAATACACCATATGTACAGTATAAGAAGGTGTAGCAATCCAGTACATTTTTATTTGAAATTTGCATCTTTTCTGTCACCTTTTTCAAGACAGCTTCTGAGTTTCACACATACTTTAAAGGCACACCTTTTATGGATAAAGTACCAGACAATTCAGACAAAAGAATATGATGGGATGGAAAAAGCTGACTTTCTAATCAAGGAGGCAGGAAACGGCCACACGGATGCTTGGTGAAAGTTATTGCTGAACCTTCATTATTCATTTAGGTGGTTCCCCAATTGATCGAATTGCACAGCCTGTTTGTGGGTACGGTATTTTGTCACCGTTTCAGCTATAGGTGTCACATGTCAAAGTGGGGGACACTTTGCTTTTGATTTGATTTTAAAATTCCTTCAAATGGCAACAGGGAGCTTAGAAGCCAGTAACGAGTCGGGGGCCTCCAATTAAACAGGCATGCGTCTCTCCGTGGGGACTGCTCTGCTTCCTAGTGAAGCTCCTCCAGGAACAGTAACGTTCTTCTGCAGCAGCTCTCTGTAATCCCCTTCCCCCTACATGTCACAAGCATTGACCAAATTAGGTCATTAATGCTCCTCAGGGAGTCATGAAAAATTATTTCTTCGCATACGAACATACAAAATGATTTAAATTGCAGATGTTCTCTCATTAGGGCTTCTTTGTTGTTTGCAGAAGGAAGAAGAGAATTCCTATTAATTAACTCAGTAACATTCTAATTCAAAGCTCTCAGTAGCTGTCACGTTTGTACAAATATTCTGTTCTCCTGAAATATTAAAGTCGTCTCCTTTATCTCAGATGTTCATTCAGTTTTTCTCGGCTGAATTTTTTTCAATCACCCTTTTTCTTGTTTTGAACAAAAGCAGGCAACATCATTTCAACAGCGCTCCTGTGGCGTTTTAGCCAGCATCGGTGTATTTTACCATTTGTCGTTTAAGATGAAAAAACATGTTAGCCAAATTTCATTGATTGTACTATTTAAATGGGTGCCATAAAATATTGAATACAGAGATGAAGAGCATGGATGCTTCTTTAAAGACAGTGGTGTTAAAATTATCCAAAAACATTTTTTTAAAAGCTGTACAGCGCTTTACAGTTACATAGAATAAACAAATTCATTAATTAATTAATTAGCGGTTTGCCAGTCCTAGTCACTGGCTACGTGATAACTGCTTAGTTGGCCAGACCATATGCTAGCAGTTGCGTGCAAGAACTTGCTGTTTTTACTGCTGTGAGAGCTTAAAGATGCTTAAGACAAAGCTGATCTTAAAGTGGGCTGCTCTACGATTACACTGAGACTACTCCCAGAGATGCTATGGGATTTAGACCGACACAAAACCCTGATTGAGAGAAGCCCGGCAACACTGACCAGCCTTGCTCTTCCCCAGGTGAAACACTGGAACTCTGTCCCCAAAGCGTGATGTCTGGGCGATGACTTGGGCACTGGATTTCTGTACTTTAAAGAACCAAATCAAGTCACTGTGCCATTAAAGTTTTGCCCTTTCCTGCGAGTTGTACAGTACGTTGTTGTTGATTTAAGGGGACACACACACAACATTCCATTGTGAGGATTTTGGAGGATTTCCAGGAGAAATGAAACAGAATAACAGTGTGGAGCCAGTAACATTAAAGCTGAGTGTGAAATCCTGTATATAGCGAATAGGAATCAGTCATGTAGGTAAGGATTATATACATTACAGTATAGGAGGATCAAAATCTTTTCCTTGGGCTTTTGAGGACACCCATGTGCTTTATTAAGTAGGTATTAATAAAAGGTCGGATTTAGCAGAAATCAAGGTATGAAATTCAAAAGTGATCAGAAAAAAAGAACAGTCTCTTACCTGCTGAGAATAACTAGCCTGTATCGCAAGCGATGACTAAGCAATATTTAATGACAAAACATGCAGTTTATGTATCTAAACTTTTGTATATTTTAGACTTAAGCAATGTAAAAAGTCAATGCAGACTCAGTAAAGAAATATTCACATATGAAAAGATGCGTCGGATTACCTGCAGGGTACAATTTTTCATGGGAAGCCTTTCCCATCCAGCAGAGCGAGGTAGAAATCGAGCAGGAGTGATTCGGACTGACGGGCGTGTTGTGAACTGGCTGGGACTTCAGGCTTCACAGCTGCCTTTGCAAAGGAAACGGGAAGAAGGGATCTGCCGTGACAGACTCCCGGATAAAGGAGCCGGATAAAAGACACATGTGATGTAAAAGAGCGGGGTATTCTCCAGTCTCACCAGATCCCGGAAGATGCCATCAGCAGCTATGACAGATTTATCACACCTTCAGCCTGCAGAGAAATAAACCGCTATGATGTAACAGTATAAATAATGGACTTGTGTTCCCAGGGGTCTGACTTCCTGTATAAATATTCACGCAGTTTTGCCACCACAGTAGGTGAAATCTCATCCGAAGCATCCGAAGAGGTGCCACGATTGAAAAAAACATTTTTCTTTATATCTTTTTAATATAAAAAAATTAACAGAGATGACTCAAAGCTAGTCAAAGGAATGCCCGCCGTCTGCATGTATTATTAAGACGAATGCACTTCTGGTTCTCGGTAGAATTAAACATTTAAAACACTAGAAAGCTACACAAGAGCTAACAAAGAAAATCCACCCATCGTCGCTGTGCAGCAACACCTGGTAGAATGAAGTTGCTTTCAGGTCCACATTAAACAGCCTCCAGGTCAGGAGACTGCACAGGAATTCTGCACTACACGCAGGGAAATCAGTACGTGTTCAGGCTGTTGTTACATTACTACTTTCATTCTGTTTGGCCTGCTTTCGAGCAAAACAACAGCAGTTTCACAAGATCACAAGCTGTAGCTTTGTGGGTGTGAACCACTTACACCAGGGTTAAGAAAATTAGGTTCAGATCAGATGCACATTGTGAAATGAACATACATTTTCCATTTGCACCTGAAGCGATTATTGACTTGGTGTCAAGTCTAATCAGATACCTGTCTGATATAATTGCTATCACACATTCCATGACCCATTAAATTTCTCTTCAGGAAAGAAAGAATATTTATAAGTGAGAAGCTGTATGTCCTTCAAAACACAGCTGAATTTCCGCTGTTCTGATGACTGTTAGCTACAAGGTAATGTTCTTGTTTTCTAAGGAAAACCGAGTACTCATGGTACTTGTGCTTTGAACTTACAAATCTAGAGAAAAAGAGATTTTGTACAATAGCTGGTTCTTTATCTTAACATACATAAATGTACCTATATACTGTAGAATGCTCCAGTCTTCTATAATCTATTAATGATACTGTGAATTCAATTCATTTCTGGTTTTGTAATTAAAATTTAATGTAATTAATTTAATAGCCTTCATGATAAAATATGTCATTTTCCTTTCTTTTAATCCACAGCAATTACATCTGTCCCACCAATCAGAATTACCAGACTGCTGTTCGGTATTGCAGCCTAGTGATAAGCTTACAGTATATACAGTACAGTACAGTACAGTACTCTTTAGTTTCAAATACTGATTTATACAACTGGTAGATCACCAGGGCATGTTGCATAATTCCACCTCATATTTCAGTGACCATTGCATTCTTTTTCCTAGATATCTTGGGTTTTTTTTTATGAATACCTCACATATTATAAAGAGAAGTAGCCTTGGCTTAAAGTTGAGCAATTGCTTGTCACACACATTACATCCAGTGACATTTTCACAGAAATTTAAACACTCTGCAGATAACCCTTATCAAAGAATCATGTATGTTTGACAAAGAATTTCAACAGAACTTATTAATTGAAAGGTACCAATCAAAATAAAAACAACAACAAGTTAAATTAAAAAGTAAAAAATAAATCAAATATATATACTGGAAAACACTGTGGGTAGTGAATTTTTTTTCTGAAAAACAAAAATCCATTTTCTCCGAGAGATTTTTAATTCTAGAACATTTTCAAAAGTTAAAAGTGGAAGTCATCTTTAAATCTTTGCAATTACACAGCAGCAAAATACAATACCACAAAACTGGAAACAGGGTGTATCACTCTTCAGGAGTACGTGGGTCCACATTTAAACCTGCAAAATCTCAATTCTCACTGTCCATCACACAACCTCACATACTGCACCGGGGCAATTTGAGTTGATCTGTTTCACCACTACTGTTGGAGAGAAAGACTGGAGTGGTGGGATAATGCGGCACACATTATTAGTGATATTAATTTCCATCTGGGAGTGGTCTGGAGTCACAAACGTTTGCAGAGTGTGTTTGTGTCTCTAATGTAAGAGTATAAGAGTGAAAGTAATGTAATGGTTCACAAAACGGACCTAATGTGTAAGGTTTTTATTATGTCTTCTCTTTTAGTCTTCCGGGTTCCTTAAGATGAGTTGTAATCTTGTAATCTATATAAACCAGTTTCCAGCTTCTAATTCAATTAAAAGAAAATTTACAGCTGCAGGCTTTTTGATGCTATATGAACAAATGTTACTGTTTATGTAATATGCTAATCCAATGAAGTATTTTGCATAATTGTGCAGATCTGCACAGTAACTGTTATAGTGACATTAGTCTTATCCTCAAAGTTCAGCGAGGAAAACGAATACAGTATAAGCACTGCATATATTAAATCTACTGTGCATAAAGGTATATGGTTTTTTAAACTGGTGAAAAATGTATTAAGGCAATATTTAGTTACTGTATGTGGAACTATTTGGAAACATTGTATAGTAGTGATAATACCTTTAGGGTTTATCTGTTTTTCTTAAACAGTACATTGTACATTGTATCAGATAAACAAAGTTAAATGTGCCTTGCTTATTTAATGGAATAAGTAATAGGTTTATTCCATGCTGAAAAGAGAAGAAAGAAAACACAACATTTCGGCTGTGAAGCCTTCTTCAAGTGTGACACAACAGACGAAACGTTGTGTTTTCTTCTCTTTTCAGCATGGAATTAACCTATTATTTGATCCTTTGCAGAGTACGCATGCTGACGCAGCTCCCCACCTGAACTTGCTTATTTAATGGTATTTATACAGTATGTAACCAGAAACTGACGGTCATACTCTGTTATACTTTTTCAGTGGGTAAAGGACAACAGCATAGTAGCACCTGCCCACGGCCAGATGTCAGAGGGGTGAAAATGTAATTAACTAGTCGGTTAATGCAGAACATCTATTCACAAAAGAAGCCCGTGAACTTTTGAGCGAAACTGTATTCATTTTTCGAAGCAGAACTTTTTTCCTAAATAGGTTTTTAGAGGAGGAAGAAGGTGACACAAAATAACACAAATTATACGGTACAAAGCCCACCTATTGAACGTGCTGAAAGTTTGATATTGATAATTTGACTTAAACCAGCCAGGTGTCCTGAAAAAAAAAGAAGCACTGGTATGAATCGGCGCTTAATCGATTTCCGCAATGACAGACGCTGTTTCACTTCACGTGCGTGCAAGAAGCAGGGATACATGTATTAAAACTATAATAAAGATCACTAACATTAGCACTGGCGTGGGTGGTACTGTAACTAGGCTCTCCATCTACAGTAGTTGTGCACTTGACAAGCGGTAATCCTGTCCTGAGCTCCTGCCTGAGACTTGCTCAATATTGTGCAGTATATTATAGACACATGGTATAAAACATGGTTTGGGAACAGTACAGTCTGGCGAGGATTTAGTTCAGCAAAAGGCTGAGAGCTTGACGAGATCAAATAAGTTTCGTAACATGTCTTCAAATTCAAAGCCAAATTCAGAAGCTGTGATATTATTATCATGGATGTCTTATTTTACTGTCGCTACAACATTAGACACCAGCTGAAAGACGAGACTGGTTAATTGCTCAAACGTTCCAGGTTAATTGTTTTCTGAACCGCTGTCAAATAGCTGGGTGGTTGCATCACACACACACTTCAAATATTAACACGCCAAAGGCAAACCTGCGAATTGTCGGAATTGTGTGTATTCCTGACAGTAAATTAAAAGAGTAAGGCGATTAAGAAAATCCCTAAGTGTTATTTTACTGGTGCGCAGAGAATACAGGATGGAGAAGTATTGTTCATTGCTTCAAAGCAGTGTAGTGAACGAGAAAAGATAACGTGTGTGAAGGGTTCCCATTTGAACGCGTCTGTGACCCCAAACTCCCGTTCAGAACATCCATTTCTTAGTTCAGGAAGAGCAGCAGGTTTTGTAACCGACTCAACGGCCTCAACAACCACCTGACCTCAAACCTATTAAAATTTTACAGAAATATTACAGATGAGTGACACGAAGATCGCAACCAGCCCGTGCTCTCTATACGATTGGACGACCAAAGTCGCGAAAAACAGGCACTGGCAGAAAAGCGTGTGGCAGGAGGCTGAGAGCGCGTTTCTCCTTGTTATAACGAGGGGTGGATTCCGGAGAGACGTTTTGCAGTCAAAAGACGGGAAATCGTCATTCGTTTCACTTATGTTTATGTTGTAAAAGGACCTGCACAGATACACTTAAAGTTTAAGTTGTTTCTTTATTGGTTGTAATTGTGTAAAACTCTCCAGGCGCGCCCGTAGTTCTTTCCGCTAGTACAGTATGTGTAGAGTTTACTAGCATCCGCATAACTACACCACGTTACACGAGTCGTCCACGGATATCATTTATCACCAGTTTGGGCGTTTATATAGAAGATATAAGCAGTACGAGCTGCACCTGGCGATTAGCATTCCTAATGCTGTATACGTAAACCGCGGATTGTAACCCACGACAGGTAACGCACACGACGTCGGTTACAAACAGGACGCAATGTCACAACCCCCATGGATTACCGTTAAAGCCAAACGTATTTGCTTTTGAAAATATTTTTTTTAACACGAGATGGCAACTAGCTGGAAGGCCCCGTGACCGCTTTTTGAACTCCAGTCGGCTTTCGCCGTCCGTCCTCCCAATCTGCGCTTTTCCGAGCCGTCGAGTCCCGAGTCTACGAAAAACACATTAAAAAAGCCCACACTGCAGTCCCGGCAGGTTCGGCGACAGGGTGCGTACACAAACGTGAAGATGATCAAATCATACCGTAGATCTACCAACAGCAAATTAATAAAACCAACCAACCGCGTACTTCGACACGTCTTTCTATATTTACATCTCCAAAGGCACCGCCTGAGAAAGACAAACGCGTATGCTTCTCTAATGATGCCGCTTCAGGAGAGAAAAAAAAAAACACCACAAAAATCGGATTTGTTCCCCGCACGCCGGCGAGAGCCGTGTCGGCAGGCAGCCTGGAAATCGCCTGTCTTCTCCCAGCACACAGTGTCCTCTGAAGCCGGCGAGACCAGGGCTACATGCGCTACCGGAGATTTGTAGTGGATGGCTTTGCGTGTGATCCCTCCCCTCGCTCTGCGTGCGTGTGTGTGTGTGTTGCTGAGTGTTTGTGTGAGGCTCAGAGAATTGCGTGCGAAGAGCTCGGCTTGTCATTCAGAGGAATCTGCCACCTGAAACACAAGGAAGTGAACCGACTCAATAGGGTATAAAACATCAACCGCATCGGCGTCTAGCAAGGCAGGCTGATAAACCGATCTGTTCGGCGCGCCGCTGCCTTCACCTTTTCCTTGGGATCTGGAATTTCAAAGCCATCACATAAATCCGAAATTAATAAAGTAAACTCATTGCATGCTACTCTATTAAAAGTGTTCTGGAATCAGGATAGATTATCAAAGCGGTTCGGTAAGTGTAACGGAGTTTTTTTTTTGTGTGTGTGTGTCTTACTTTATAGAACGGAGTTTCCGAACATCGCTCTTTTCAAGTTTTTATTTGTCGACAAACCGCTTGACAAGTTAGTCTAATGCATCTCCTCCAAGCCGGTCGGGTAGCGGCAGCACGCAATGATCTCGCTTGCGCCTGAGATCCATCGCGCCGCTCCTGAGCATGAAGCGATTGGTTTGCTAGTGTAAACAGGGCAGAACCACGCAGGCATCCAGGCTTTTACAAGCGAAACGTCTTTCTCTGGCCTGCTATGCACCCGTTATTGTTTAAAGCAAGGCGTTCTCACTATGTTGCAAGGGTCAATTTGTATTTTAGTTTTTTTGGGGGGGGCCGACGACGACACAACTTTTTCTTTTCTGTCCCGGGTGTAGTTGACGCCGGTTTCCTTGCCCGTGCAGTGACCCGCAATGACAGAAACGATGCGTGCTTTTGTTAAGTCTGCTCTAAAGGACGGGGTTTTTTCCTGCACCTGTTACCTTTTCCAGAGTCCGAGGTCATGATTCCACCCGGGGACTGCATGTATGCTGGCAGGAAGAGGAGAAAGCCCGTTCAGAAACAGTTAAGTAACGCGCTGATGCTGTCAATGGTCTTTCTGCGGAATACCGCTGTTTAATTATACTGGTCAAATATCAGCTCACTGCTATGTCACCCAGAAAGGTTCTCAGAAGTTAATTAGATGTCAGAAAACATGCCCCCCGTAAACGAAGCTGTTAACATACCGTGTACATTAGACACAGTACTGTAACTGTATACTGTATAGACTGAAGTACTAGGAAGGTGATCTACGGTTATTCATGAAATGCTACTTTAATTGTCGTTGTGTATGTATGTGTCAAAAATACAGTTTAACGCTTTCTTTCTTCTTGTGTTTGAGGTCTTAGCTCTCGTCCCGGCGGCGGAGAGGTGTTGGGTGTCTTAGATGGTGATGAAGGGAGTTTAACAGTTTCAACCCGTGATTCGCGTTTTTCACGCACGGAGCTCGAATCGCCCCAGTGATCCTGGAAGTTCGTTTCTTAGTTAGTCTGACGGAAACAAGACACACAGTATTGATTTTACATGAAACATGTCGACTTGCAAATGCGGTTTGTGCACGGCACCTGCCTCTGTGAAAGCTGAAGGAAAATGAGGAATATACAGAGGTTAATATCGCTCCAGAAAAATAGTCTATTTTCACGCTGCAGAAATGTACATTAGTTTCTTAATGTGGTAGCATTAATATTCAACTCTTACCAATATACGATATTTCCTTTTTTAAGAATAATCTGCCATCAGATTATGCGCTATATAAATTCCATCCTCAGCCTGTTGTCCGGGGCTAGTGTCTCCAGTTCGGTATCCCTGTATCCCTGGAAAACTGCCCCCCTCCGAAACGCGCACGCGTCGGACGCCTGATCTCCCCATATAAAGTGATTTTTCTGTAACACATAAGGACAGAGGATGCACATGGTTTTTGTGTGCTTCCGTTCGAGTTCCCCTTTAATTCGCGTGGCAGTGGTATTTGTTTCTAATCTCAGGCAGTGTATTTAAATACACCGAGAAACGGATACAAACAGGGGCAAACACACCAAGGGCTGCTTTTATATCCGTGTCGTACTAAGCAAAGGCTCAGACATGCTCACATGATCTGCCTGCATCGTGAAGTGTCCTGGAAAGTTTTGTGGAGATACTGGATTTGAGACACCTGTTATGCGACATCAGCCAATACCTCTACAGTAAGGTTTTCACGTTCAACGAAGTGGTGTGATTTAAAACAATGTGTGCCTTGGTCAACAATTACTGCCACCGTGTGACAGGTTAGCATTTTATATCGCAGAGGCTGGGTAACGGGCCGTGAGTTGGTACCGTACAGTACAATTTCAGCGCCTCTAGAAATTCGTGCGTGTCTGGCAGGTCAGATGATCATATCAGCGTAAATTGTGATATAGTCTTCGATTATTGGTCAGCTAAGTATAAAAGTCGACCCCGGCGTCTCTGTAGCACCTTCATTCAGAGCTTACTATACAGTTTTGAGATAGTCTTGCCTTGCAGGACAATAAACAGCGCATACCGCAGGATTATAAGCTAATTGTCATTAATACATACTGTACATGCGTAGTAGAATATATTGCTATAGGTCTAGAAGTGAATGAATAATTTAAAGATATTTTAACAATCTTTAGTATTTGACTATGAAAGCACAAATCACAGATTTTTAGCCTCAGTACACTTACTGGATTAGCCCGTGGTTTGTCTGACGGTAGCAGGGACCCCTCTGCTGACAGAACAGAAACGAATGAGGTAGCACTTTGGTAGGACCTGCGTTTTGACGGTTCTCAATTGTTGCACCTACCTGTGCATCAGCCTCTCCAGCCACTTTTCTGCTCGCATGTTCGTTTGAAACCAGTCTCCCATCGTCCTCCTGGTGGGGCAGAAACCACCGTTAGTCTTGAGTGTCTTGGTGACGGACGGACTCCACAGGAGAAACTGGGGCGTCTGTGGGGTCTTCTGTAGCCGAGACTGGAGTTGCAGAGGTTGATAACTTTGACCACCAGAGAGCTCTCTGACTTGAACCGTGTTGAAGTGGTCCTGGGTGCGTTGTGTCTGTTCTCAGCCCTCTTTCATCCCTGTGGAAATCAAGGTGACTTTCCAGAACCCTTCCTAAACTTTTTTTAGGAAGCTTTCTTTCAACACATTTTAGAGGTATGCCATAGCACGTGGGCAATGTGGACATCGTGCGTTTAGAAATACAGTATATGAAAGTTTTTTGCTGTTACGCTGTTGCTGGATTCAGTATGCAATTTTACATTTCTTCACTCATTTTATTCAATTGTAACTCATCAGTGCTGAACACTCCTGATGTACACCTTCATTTTCTTTTCGTTACAGTACACCAAGGGTATGAACACATTGCGCGGCAGCTGTAGATATCCACGTTGGTAAAGAGCACGTTTATGTTCACTGGCAGTGTGCTGTGCCTAGACTTGGCAAGGTGTGAATGGGAGTTGGCTGTTTGTAAAAGGCAGCGATGCACTAACATGCTGTGTGGGAGAGAACCTCAGGCCGCTCCTGAGACGGCAGGAGGGAGTCTGTGGAGCGGGAGGCTCGGTGTGCGATTAGTCGTCCTGGTGAGCCTGGGTCCGGTCGTTTCTCTGGGCAGTGGTCTGTTACGCCTGCCCCACACCACAAGGCTGTCCAAGAAGGACTTCATGTCTTTCCACAGTGTTGGACGGATATCATCTGGGGGGAAATGAAAGCTAAATCTTCAATAAACTTTCCCCTTTTTAGGATTGATTTCTCTCTTTGGCCACGCAGATAATTGCAGCACAATAATGGGCAGCAGAACAATCTAACGCTCTCATGAACATACAGTACAGTGGCTAAATATAGTGTTGTATAGAAAACACTTCAGTGACAGTCGGAAAACAAGTATGGAGTGGGAATATATACATACTGTATACAAGAAAAAAAAAAGAGAATATATTACATGTGAAAAATAAAAGTAATATTAATATTATAAGTAAGTGTGGTTGTTATCAATTAAAGGTTAATAATATCTTTTAAGCGCAAGGTGTTCCAGTTTGCCACTTTTCTCAGGGCCGTGTTTAAAGTAGAAGAAGGTCACAGTGCTGGAGAAGGAGCTCACATGGAGAGGGGCGTGGACTGCTTCCCCTTGCATTGAGTAGTTAAGAGTAATGATGGTGCCTTTAGGAGTTAAGTAGTTAGCACATGGCAAAAAGGCCCTAATAAAACCAATCTAAACCCTGCGCGCTGTGAAGTACAAATCGTAATGGGGGAAAAAAATGAACTTCGCACGTCTAAGGATCTGCTGGATCTTCAATCGGCAGGGCGATGGCGAGGGCGTTAGCGCTGGGGCCTCACGGGCCTCGGGTTCGAGTCGTTCGGGTTCGGCCCCGCCTCAGGCACCTGTCTGTGTGGTGTTTGCGTGTTCTCCCCAGGCTCGCATGGGGGCTCTCTGGGGGGGTACTGCAGGGCCCACCCACCTCCCGAGGAGCCGGCGGGGTCATGCAGGATTAGCTGCTTGCAGCCTTCCCCCTCTCTGTGACTCTGGGCCTGGGAGCGAGCAGGTGGCTTAGAGATGGAGAGTAAATCTTCAAGTCTGAGATGTGTGTGAAATCAGTGTGCAAGAGCACACAGCGGGAGGTAATTCAGCCTATTGGATATCAGAGACTCACCTTCTCTAAACTCCTCCAAATCCAGACTCAAAACCTTCCTCTTTAGAAGAGCCTTTACTTCACTGGTTCCATTCTTTACCCCTCTGCTCCTACGGTATTTAGTACCCCCATCTACTGTCTCCTCGGCGTATTCTCATCGTGTTTAACTCCTGTATTCTTTGTTGTTTATGTTTAATTGTTGTTGTGGCTGTTGTCATTCTGTGAAGCGCTTTGAGAAGCCACCTTTAAAGGCGCTATGTACAATAAAGTTTATTATTATTATTATGGTCCGGCCAGTTCATCGACAGTCTGGGGAGGGGAGGTCAAGGCCGCCGGTGGGGGCGTCAGGAGCTGAAAGGGAGCTGAGGGGAGGGTAGAGTCAGGGCCTGCAGACAGTGTGCGCGCAGGGCGAGTCCCTTCAGGAAAAAAGGGCGTCCTCCCCCCCCCCCCCGCGGTCAAGCCTCTGGCTGTTCTCTGATCGCCCTGAGCTCTCGATTCTCTCGGCAGAAAGCCGGCGGTCGTGAGCGAGAAGTCCAACCCCTCGAAGAGGCACAGAGATCGGCTCAACGCGGAGCTGGACCGGCTCGCCAGCCTCCTGCCCTTCTCCCCGGACGTCATTTCCAAGCTGGACAAGCTCTCCGTGCTGCGGCTCAGCGTCAGCTACCTCAGGGTGAAGAGCTTCTTCCAAGGTAGGGCCCCGGGTCTGGGGAATTCATGGCTCCGGGAAGCTCGTGTGCCGTCCGTGCGCGCCCGGTGAAGGCAAACAGAGGGAGCGGCTCCCGGGATCGGGATACGCAGGCCCAGTGTTCACAGCGCGAAGACCGAGGGCCCGGCTCACTGCGGCACTTCCAGGCTCTCTGAGTGCACGGCTGTGGCTGGCCTCTTGAGCAGAGCCCAGTGAATGTCGCAGACGTGTAGCCACTGTCCAGCAGCAGCCAGAGCACGGAAGAGGCCCCGTGTGTCTGCAGTGGTTTGAGGGAGGCCAAGTCATTCACCACCAGCCTTAGGATATTTGTCTGTCCTCAGCCATAAATCCCTGAGCGTCATAGTGCCCGGATGCTGTCTCTTCTACAGGTGCATGCAAGTGGCTTGATCAAGAAGTGCGTGAGCCCAGACTACTGGCTTCCTTAAACCCAGATGCGGTTGCTTTAAAAGTTGAGCAGGTGGAAATATGACATATATTACGTCATTAAAGAGCGTCTTGAAACAAGGCAGGGACTGCAGTGTGCCAATGCTCGAATTCTGTCCTCCAAAAATAGTTGCAGCAGTGCTTCTGAGGTAGCAGAAGTGATCAGGAAAGAAACTGAATTGATGGCTCATTGAAGCTTTCTCTGTTCTTGCCAGCGTCTTGTGAGGATGCTTGGTACCTCGTCTTTAACGTATGGCACAGTTTCTGCCCCTTGGGATGTTATGAATGGCACCAGCTTAGTGCGAATCCGGAGAGGTGAGGTATGTGTGGCCAAAGTCACCTGTGATCATTTGTTTCGTAATTATTAGAAGAAAACAAGTTGATTTGCTTGAGGGTGTTTGTAGTCAGGCCGAGGCACAAAGAGAGGGAAAATGCCAACAAGACACATGGACGGTGACCTACAGATGACCCAGCTATTAAAGGATCAGGACTCCAGTGTTCTCATTTGACCTGCCTTTATAAAGGAACTGACTCCCCCTGGCATGCTCCTTAAAATTCCTGATCCAGAGCCCTTAATTCGTATTTCACCAGGTGCAGCAGTTAACAAGTATCTCCAAGGCGGTTCAGATGAAAGCCTCACACATGGTAGGCACATGGGGTGCCCCTTACTGGCAAGAAAACCAAGTCCTGTAATGTGGCACAGAGCACAAGTACTTATTAGGTTATAAAAGATATCAAAAGCAAACTTTTGGGAAGTGTGCATTACACTGCTGGGGAAATCAAGCGAGGGTTAAAATGGGAACGTTCAGGAAATGGCGCTGGGCGCCTGTTGGACCTGTACAGTATATGGCCAGGACTTCTGGGTGAAGATTCCTGAGCTTCTGAGCCCTAATTTGACAAGTCTCGGTAACCAATTGAGGGACCTGAGCACTGAGGAAGACCTGGGTTTATAACCTACTGCATGTATTGTAGTTATTGAATTCGTTCAAACAGCACGAGATTCAGTTTGATAGCTTTTATTTTTGCTACCTTATTCTGAGGTTAGTAAAATCTCTGTGGGGCAGGGATCAATTAATCAAGGTCCAGGAGGCCGTGAAGGCAGACACTAGCGCCCCTGCACCCAACCTACCAGTTCTACATCTTGCAACATTACTCATTCCAAATGTGGAGCTATGACTGTCAGTCATAAGAAAACGTCCAGAATAACAGCCTTGTGCCTTGCTTTTGGACAGTACACTAGATCTGTAATCTCGCAGAAGCAGAATCTCACTAATCTCCTTTTTTCTCCAGCTGATTAAACTGTTTTTCATCAGGGCTTGTTTTTAACCAATTGAGTGAATGTCATTAACCAGCATGTACTGTAGGAGCAGACAGAGCGACTGGACTAAGGAATTCTGTATGAAACTATATGGTAGCAGAGTCACTGATGAAGGTTGGAGCTCCGATATTGATGATGTGAAAATATCGTTTTCACTCCCAAATCACTGACCATCACCTCCAGGGAAATGACTAAAGGTCACAGTTCCGCCTGTAGCACACAGCTCCTTCACTCAATGTGTCGCACCCTTCCGCCCGAAATCCAGGTTGTAAATCTGCTCATTTGCCCCAAGACGAGCATCAGCTGCTGTAACTGGGCCATGTGGGGCAGCTACACAGTGAGCTCAGACAGGCTTCGGTCGCCAGGGCAGCAGTGTGGAGGACAGGTGAGGGCTCTGGGGCACACGGGTGTGGGGTATAACCCTGCTGTTGTGCCCCTGAAGGAGGTGCCAAAAGCCTCCCTTTGTGACCGGATGTTCAGGTCCAGGCCGTCATCATCAATAGGAAATTGTTCTCAAATAACCCATCTCAATAAAGGATAAAAAAAATACAGAAGTGAGAATTTACATTTCATGCCTGGTGTCCCCTAGTGCCTTAAAGATGCCGTTTCATTGAACACTTGACGAAAAAGGTTGTAGGTTCGAATCCCTGGTGAGGCACATACTGTACCCCTTGAGTAAGGTGCTTCGCTCAGATGCTTCCAGTATAATGTCTTATAAATGGGCACAGAAGAAAGTGCTTTGGATAAAATACAATGTTTATCCAGGATGTTCCATTCTCATTGGTATTGTTGTTGATATATTCAGGATGTTCCTTTGAGATCTGACTACGTTTCTCACTATGAACCAGCAAGAATAAAACAACGTGTGCTGTACCGAAGATTTTGCTGTGTAATAACTTATCTCGAGTAGTTCTTGAAATTCAGGCAGGATCCACCGAGGTGTTTCCTCCAGGGTGACAGTTAAAAGATTCCTAGTACAGCGCAGGCTTCTGAGAAGCATACTAGATGGATTGACAATCTGTTTGTTTCTTCGAAAATTTGAGTTTTGCCCCAAGAATGAAATGGTTTTACTTAAGTATTACGTAAGTTTTATAGTTGAAATGGGGTGTGCTTTACAACACTGTTTAAAAGTACACTTATCTAAGAAAAAGGTCTCAATTTCTTGGGTAGATGTTTATAGAAAAACTGAACTGTGTCATTCAGGTGCTTCCTAATTAATATATCACTTTGCTCATTTTTATGCATTTACAGTATATAGCTTCCTCTTCTGTCATTGCTCTTCTTAACTATGCTAGTAACTTGTTTGATCACAGTAAAAAGGATGAATTAGTTGATAATCCAGCATGTCATTTAGAGAATAGAGCACAATACAGGATGTTCTCTGGCAGACCATGAGTTAATATCATAAGAAGAGAAAATGCAAAGCTTTGCCTCTACATGTGCTGTACAGTAGGCGTTAATGATACGTTTCTATAGCTTGATCTTCAGATAGATAATCATATTGCCTTCATTTGAAAGTACATTAATTACTTTGGTTTCTCAATAGTGGCCAGAACCAGTCATTAAGACTAGCAGTTGAAATCACGACTTTCCTAAGACCTGAAGCAAAAGTCTCTGTAAAGTTTACAGCAATACGACAAAGTCTGATCATATAACTTTTTTTTTTTCATTTAGATGAGGAGTTGCAAATTCTGGCCCTTGAACACTGTGAGGCAATAGAGGTTTTTCTATTGGATCAGCTCCTCGAATGCAATTGCTTGAGAAAGTGATGATTTAAGGGCGACCCTTCATGGTTCTCCTACATCAACAGGGCTGGCTAGACGTGCTTCACAGCTTGGGAAACGTGTTTCCTGCCCATGACTTTTATTTAAACTTTGTAGCTTTCTTCAAAGGTCTGGAACAATTCACCCAGTTTCTGTCTTTCAGTTTTGGGGTGCTGTATGTAAGAGAGCATAACTGATAGACGTGGTGTGTCATTGTGATGCAGTATGTGCATTAGCTGTATTTAGCAGCCTCTGTAGAGTTGCAGATCAGGTTTCAGGGTGAGGAATACTTTATTCTGTCCAAACCTCAAGGGAACAGTCAAGGTATTTGCATCTGACATTATACTTAGATGTTCTTTAAAAGCTGTTAAAGATGCCAGAAATTTAATCTGATCTCCCTGTGTCATCACGCAATAAGTAACTATGCACAGCTGTCTGCAATCAAGATACAGACTTATTTTCTATTGCTAAAAAGCTAAAGAAAGCAAACAAAGAATTAAAGAAATGAACAATAACAGGAAAAATATTTGGCTCTGTTTTGGTTATAGCAAATGTTTATTTTTTTGTTTATTTGCATGTCAAGTTGGATTCTTTAATTTGTGCCTCTTTTAAATATTTCTTTTTGTGCTTAGAATAGTCCTGTTATTTCAGCTTAATTTCTCTTCACTTCTGTTTTCTTCTGCTACCAAACACGGGTTCTGTGAACTGTGGCTGGTGTATACACTGAACAACAGCACTGCTGACATTGATTGGAAGGCTGATCCCTGATACTGAATCCTAATAATCAGTTTCTCTGATGCTACTCTCCTCACTGTAAAACACATTACAGCAAGTAAACACCAGTGTGTTCCCTGGGCTCGGAAAAACACATTTACTCAGAGATCCATCTCCTAGCGGGGTTAAGCTTTGGACACGGAGGTCTGAGCCCTGGACAAAACTGACTGGGTTGCGTTTCTAAGAAATTTAAGTAGCCAAAGGCAAATTCCTCTTGACTGTCTTGGCAGTGACAAAACATGTTTGGTAGGTATTGTCTTTTGCAAATTCACATTATTTTAGATTTCTGGACCCGAATTGTGCTAGACACACCCTTCCACTTCACCACTACACCACTTCTGCCCATTTATGAGCCCAGGGCATTTACACTCCTTTACACATAATGTGCAATAACGAATGACCAGTCCTGTTTTGTTCATGATGTTTATACTGATAATGAAAACTAGCTGCTTTTGAGTTTGTTTGCAATAGATCATTGATCGCTATTCAAAGTAAAGGAAGAAATTCTGTATCATTATACATGGCTGTTGACTGAAAGTATTCATTTTAATACCATAATACCCGCAGTTATGATTTCAACATTTGCTTGTAAAAGTTTGTTAGCGTTGGAGTTTCCTGAGGGTTGCAGTAGAAATGGTTGTCAAACATTGCCTTTCCTCTTGGAGGTGTAATATACTGTAATTGCACAAAACCGGGCATCAAAAG